CGGCAGGGCAGGGCAGGGCAACGGCGGTGTTGGTTGGCAGTGCTTGGTTAGAATATCGACGTTCTTTGCAGGTTAGTTGGTCGCTGGAGTTTTTGTTACTCTTCCCCCTCCCCTGCCCTTTTTCTTTCGCTTCTATGAGGCCAGCGTTGTTACTGGGAGGTGCATGCATGGTTGTGGCGAGCGGCAACTGTTGCTGTTGTGATTTTCTCGGGCTGCTGGTATCCGTTGCGTCGACCGAGGGCCAGCTTCGGGGTCTTGCTCGAGCCCTGACTCTTCTCGCCACCTTCCATCTAGGTCAACTGTCACAGCCAACTCGGCGTGGCTTTCATTCAATATCGTTGTTTGTATGCATGCACACTGGGTTCCTGGCGCAGGACCATTGAGCGCAGAGCTGTTTGCATCAGCTGCACTTGAGACCTGCATTGCCCATTGGGTCACCGGCTGCCGACCTCATCCTCCCGGCACGCTCAACCTCTGCGTGCCGGGGAAGCCGTTGACGGTTCGCTCACGCTTTTAGTGCATTCAGGCGTGTTTTGGCTGCCAGCCGATCACGTCGAGGACACTCACGCTGCGGTCGAGCCCGGCGACATGGCGCGGCAAGTCTCAGTGGCCAGTGCCGGAGACGCAGGCCTGCTTGGGCCAGCTGGCATTCCACAGCATGGCTGCGTGCATGCCTCCGACTACAAGACTGTTCACGATGATCGCAAAGCACCGGGTCGCGAGCTCTTTGCTCGTGCTCTTTCCTACACCTGGCTGCATAGTCGCAGCCAGCACACCTGCACCGCCTGCAGTGACCTTGATGCGCATCACGTTGAGCCTGCCTTCAATGGCCAGCGTGATCTGCATCTCTGCCTCTCTTGCGTATTTATCGGCTGCTTCACCTTTTCACAGCCGAATGGCGAGCCTCCAGCACGCCACAGTCATGAACACGCCGTTCAGGCCAGCCATGCTCTCTCCCTCAGCCTCGCACATCGCCGCGTGTACTGCCACTTTTGCAACGATTTCATTTACGACCCTGATTTTGAGCATTGGATTGACACCCATACGTGAGTCGTGCCTGTCCGCTTGCCCAAACCCTACTGTGTTCCTTCTTGACGACAGCCCATGAGCCCCAGTTGTTTGCCGGCTCTCTCCCTCATCTTATTGCCCACTGGGTGGCATGGACAACTCCTTCGGGGCCTGCCGTTCCTAGCGTAATGGAGATGGAAGATCCCCATGCTGCCGACCCAGAACGTTTTGCCAAACAGCCTTGGAGCCTGGATATCAACACTGACGCCGGTCTGCAGGCGGCCGAGAGCCTGCAAGCCCGAGCCGTGCTCAGTACTCGCTATACGCCAGGTGAAGGCCTCAAAATCGCCAATCATTTTGCAGAGCTCATGGTTGAGCGTTTCGTTGGAGCTGCTCCACTTGCCAAGTTAACCCATTCTTACGACGCATTAGGCCTCGGACTGCGTGGGCTGTGCAATCTCGGCAACACGTGCTTTGTCAATAGCATCCTGCAGGTGCGGATCCGCGGAAAGATCATGACGACGGTCAACTGCCAAAGCTGGCTTGCTCTTGCCGGCCAGCCCTTGATGCTCGCTGTGGGCGCTCATATTGACCTCGTCACCCGCCTCTCAATGTGCAGGCCCTGATTCACAATCCTTTGCTACGAAACTTCTTTCTTGCTGACATGCATCGACAATCACCCAGGTCAGGTGCATGCTTTCTTTCAACCGCTGAGCGGACTTTGCTTTGTCCTCAATGAGCACCTCCTAACACACGCGCTCTATCATGGTGCTTTAGATGCTTGCGCCTTCATGAACCCCAAGGTCAGCCCTGCATCCCCCTTACTCCTGCACGCCAAAATTTCACCCACCCTCCTTTTCCCTCAAACATGGCAGTACTGACCCGTGGCTTTGTTCGGTGACTCTGCTACACGACCTTGCTTGCCCTTGTCGCCATTTGATTCGCGAACAGATTTCAATATCGGCTCACGAATTGAAGCACGCAGCAGCGATGGCAGTTTTCAGCCGGCGACCATTCGTGGAGTGAATCCCGACAATTCGTACGCCGTTGAATGGGACGATGGCTCCGTACAAGAGGTCATGCCGCGCAAGAGCATTCGCTCCATGGGTACGATGCAGTCCGGTCTCACGAGTCCATGCGCCGTTTGCAATCGCTCAACCCTGCCCTGTCGATGTCATGCCTATGCCCCTCCTTGTGTGCGCGGTCTAGCCGATGCGACGACAGTACCCTGCCTGGCATGTGTGTTGGCCCAATTGTTCAGGTTGGTGATCACTCCTGCCAGTGCGTCTCTGCACATAGACTTCTAAGTGCGCCATTCCCGCGGCAGCTCACGGCTTTGTCCACGCAGCGATGCCTACAACGGCCAGCATGAACAAATGAGCACGCATACCCTTTTGTATGCCATCTGGAAGGTATGTTGAGCTCCTGACACCCCGGCTGTGGTCTCTTCTCGTCCCGGCTCTCATACAACTATGATTGAATTGTGCAGGCGTCATCACACCTCGCAGGCTACAGTCAACAGGACTCACACGAGTTTTTCATCTCCCTGCTCGATGGGCTGCATCAGCACATGGTCCAGGAGGGCGTGAATCCACACAGTAATGGTACGCCGCAAGGTGAAATGTTGTCGATGCGTTGAGGTTGGATGCGGCAATTACATGGCTCATCGGTTGAATACCTCGGCTTTCTTTTTTTTTTAACCGTAGCACACGACTGTGATTGCATCATCCATCGCGTCTTTACTGGGAAACTACAGTCGGACGTGAGCTGCCAAAGCTGCGGCTTTGTGAGCACCACTTTTGAACCTTTCTGGGATCTCTCCCTCGGCATTCGGTAAGCACCACTGCTTTCCCGCTCCGCATGTGCACCATTTTTGCCTTGCACAGACTGCAGGCGCAACTTGACGCCTTCTTTGTTGGCTTGCATCGTTCAGGCGCGCTGCAACTGGAGATGGACAGGTCTGTGACAGCTCACCTGACAGAATGTGTTGTGGCACTCGACACTTGTGCGCTCATGGCCGAGGCTATTGTTTGTTCACTCCCTTGTTTCGCACTCTAGACAAGCGTCTCGTTGCTGGATTGTCTTCAAGCATTTACCAAGGCAAGCATCTCACTGCCGCTGATTGCATCCACTTTTCTGATGGCATCCTTGTTTGCAAGTCGACCGCACAGACTCACTGTTCGACATATCCTCGTATTCTTATTTTTGGTCCCTTGTTTAGTCGGAGCAGCTGGGCGAAGATGCCATGGTGACGTGTACCAACTGCAAGGCTAAGCAGCAAGCACACAAACGGGTTAGTGACGCGTTGTGGTTGTGTTCCTACCTTTTTCCGAGTTTGCAGCCGGTCCTGGTCGTCACTGGTTGCCGAGCGCTCAGCCCGGGGCCAGCACGCCACGACCGTGCGACTGGTTTGAGTTTGATTCTCACTCTCATGTTTTGTTAATATCTCAGTTGACTTTGCATTCGTTGCCGGTGGCCTTGTGCTTTCACCTGAAACGCTTCCGTCAAGCTTCCTTCACGGCACCAATTGTTAAGGACCAGGTCTATGTTCGGTGAGCTAGAGCTGGCGCCGGCATGATACGATGCATTGTTCATCCTAGCCGCACCTTGACGAATGCTTGCTGTATCACTTTGTCATGGTCAAGCCTGTCTCATGAGTTCTGGGTTGTCTGCCACTTGTTCGCGCGAGTTGCACTCATGGATTCACTGTTTCATTGCTATCGGGCAGCTTTTCGCAAGAACTCGACTTGTATCCGTATCTAGCTCACGCCATTGCAACAACCAAAGACGAGCAAGGGGCATCGCGCCCGTCTTTGCGCGATGATGCCTTTACCTACAATCTCTTTGCAGTTATTACTCATATTGGTACCATGCAACAGGGTCATTACATTGCCCACGTCAAGCATGTACGTCCAATACCCGCCAAAGCAGAATCTTGTCGCGCGCTCATCTTCAAGTAAATACACATGTGATTTATTCTAATTTGTGCTGCTGTTTTTTTTTTTTTCATTGACATAGGGAGGTCAATGGTACTGCTGCGACGACGGAAACGTGTTTATGGTGCACGAGCGGGATGTCTTACAAACCCAGGCGTACATGCTTTTTTACATCAAGACTCGTCTCGAGTATGGTACTCCTTCGAAGGATGGACCGTGATTGTGCTTCCTCGCATCGAGAGAAGACCCCACATTCTTTGCAGCAAACGTGAGAGAGATAGAGAGAAGAGAGCGGGAGGGAGAGAGAGAAAGAGAGAGAGAGAGAGAGGAAAGAGAACAAGCAAAAGAGAGTGAATTGAATATCGAGCCATGTGTGTACGTCTTCAAAACGAAACATAAATCACATCGTTATTTTCCAGGCGATATTGAGATGTGAATTTTAAACGTGGGCTTCAACTTGTGACTCGGCTTTTAGTTTTGAAACACTGCTAGTCTTCTTGATCAGAGCCCTGGTTTTGATCGAGGAGCTCTAGGGCAGCGATGGCAGCACGATAAACTTCAGGATTTTCATGTTCTTGGAGAGCCTCCAAAAGACTGAGCGTCAAGGAGGCATCCAGAAAGCCGTAGAAAGCGCCATCAAGCTTGCGGGCAGAGGCCATAATGCCTTGCATAGCCACCACGATGATGCGCGTGTCCTGGCCTTGTAACATGCGGTCAAACGCGAGCAGCATGTTGGCCTCAAGAGCCACCTGGATCTGTGCAGCCGTACCACCCTCACATAGGTTGGCGAGAGCCCAGCATGCCTCTTTGGCTACCTCAAACAAACCATCTATGGCTTGCCTAGAGTTGGGACAGCACACGTGCGGGTGACTGGTGAGCATGTAGTTTCGTGGCGAGAACACCTTTAGTGCTATTGAGATGCCCTGGGCAGAGAACTGACCGTACGAGCAACGGCAAGGCACCGCTACGCACGACAACTTCAATCTGGTTGACCGTGCCTGCAGTGATATTGGACAAGGACCAACAAGCTTCCTTTTGAATGCTTCGCTTCTGCAATGGAGAAGGAGGACGCGTGTCAGCTTTCAAAGATTTCAAGACAAAGCCTTGCCGGTGGCCGCTTAGATGCACGAGTTACCGGATGGTCGACAAGCTTGACCAGATGGGGGACAAAGCCCGCATCCACGACCACTTGCGTCATGGTATCATCGCCCGTCACAATGTTGCCTGGGCAAGTCGCCATCGTCAAGGCGGTACCATTAGAAGAATCTCAAACAAGGGCAAAGGGTGGGGTGGGTATGTGAGGTCATCTCGATGCCACAGAGCGAATGTGTGACCAACCCAGGCAGCGCAGGGCGGGAGTCAAAACGCGTGGTGCGTTTAAACTGAGAAGCTGGATGAGTCGGGGGATGACGCCAGCCTCGCACACGGCAGCAATTCGATCATTGGGGCCATCGCTCAACGAAGACAGGGCCCACCTATGGGCCAGTCATTTTACCCCAAGAATCATCAAGATGAACGCCAGACACAAAATGCAATGTCCTCAGCTGAGAGAACAGCTACTGGTAGTAGCATCAACAGCATGGCAAGTGGACCGTGGCGGTGACGTACGCGGCATCACAGCGCACTTCCAGGTCATCGTGGCCAAGCAGCTGAGACAACAAGGGGATGGACTGGTCGTATTCAGCATCATACCCAGTCAAAGCAAAATCCAGCATCAGTCAGCACGGGGACAAGGCGAATATAAGCAAATCACAGGCTCGATTGCGCAAAATGAACTTCTGCAACGTGGAAGCAAAGCCATAACTGACTGGGGACACAATGTGAAAGTCAGGGCGGGGCTTGCCACGAGCGAGGTTGCTGATGAGCCAAGTGGCATTACGCCAGGCAGAGAGGCCGATGTTTTCTGTGTCAGGGTTGAAATAAAGAAGGTGAGTGCGTCTGAAGCAGATGAGAGATGAGGGGCATGGTGGATGGGTCACTGGACACCAACCTCGCCCTGTAAGGGAAGAAATGATCATGCGCATGACACCCGCTGCGAGGACTATATCGCGAAGTTCGGCACTATCGCCTGCAATGTTGCCCAGCGCCCAGATGGCCTGTTCAAACACGTTGACGCTGGGAGAGGCCAGCAGTTCCACAAAAAGGGGAATAGCACCCTAAAAGGAGTTGAGAGGGTGGATTTGTAAAAATGAAAAATGAAAAAAACAAAAACAAAAAAAAACAAATATGTGTATGTATATATAGAGAAGGGCCGAGGTTGAAGCAAGGTGAAGGGTGTCGTGGCGGGTGTGAAGCGTGCTCGGTGAAGCGAGGCTGAGGTTAGTTGGCGTGAACGGAATGGAACGAACCGCATCAACCACCGCGCGCGTTTGCTCTGACGTGCCAGAGGCAATGTTGGTGAGGGCCCAACAGGTCTCGAAGGCCAAGGTGTCATTCTTTGGAGGCACGGCAGGCCAAGGTGCACCAACACAATGGTCAAATGAGAGAGCGGGGCGAAGCAACAAGCGCCGAGGTGGAAAGATGAGGGGAGGAACAGGCAAGAGGGAGGAAGCGGGGGTGGAGGAAGCAGAGGGTAGGAAAGGCTTGTGGTGTACCTGGCTTGGAAGATAGCGGATGAGGGCAGGGATCAAGCCAGCATCAATGGCCTCTTGGTTGGGCGGATTATTTTCGCGAGACAGCATCCTGCGAACGGCCTGGGCTGCCGCGATGTGTTGCTCCATGGTGGCTGCTTCATTCATGAGCTGCCGGGATGGGCGAGAAGGAGACGGAGAAGGAGACGGCGCGGAGCCACGATTAGGGCAAGAGTGAGGATTAGGGTTCTGGGTGGACACGGGAACCGGCATTGATGGGTGGTTCGCCAGCAACACACCGTAGCTGCGTGTTCTTTCATCTGCTTGAATATATCGGCGTCCAAAGCTGCTTGGTCAGCCTTTTTTGATAATTGCAGAGTCAGTTTCGGGGCGTGACCGAACACGGGAAAGCATGAGTGTGATCAAGTACAGAATGAGATGACACGATGAGAACGGAGAAAGCGAGCCAATATGGGCAGGGGCAGGGGACGTACGGGAGCTTTCTCATCCGGTTGTTCCTTTTTGTCCTCTTGTTGCTCAGTGTCTGGTTCTTCCTCCTCATCAGCCGTCGAGTTTATCGCTAGCCAGGCGGTGGGGGAGATGGGTGGCAGGGGGATTTTGGTACCAGCCAGTGTTGGTGAGGATTGGGGTTGAGCGGGGATGTGGAGGGAAAGTGTGCGGTATCTAGGGGATCGTGCAGGTTGATTGGGAAGGTAGACGTACGGGTCGTGCGGTTACGAAGGGCGGTCGTCCAGCATATTTTGTAGCCACGGCGCCCGGCGTGCTGTGCGGGCACGGAGGAGGGTTGGGGGGGGTTGAAGGCCGGTGGCACAAGCAAGGTATTGGTGAATGAGCGGATCGAAGCGAGCAGCGTGAAGGTGGAGGGATGTTGGGGTGGGCGCTGCAACAACGGCGGTGGGCATTGTCACCTGAATGAGGCGATTGAAGCGAACGCGGTGGGCAAACTCGATAATGGAGCGTTCATGGTAGCTTTGTGTGGTGCGATCGCGAAATTTGAAGAGGGAGAGGCGCATGGCGAGCTTATCCATGCTATCACTCGAGTCCTCGTGGTTGGGGATGGAATCGTCGTCGCCTTCCTGTCACAGTGTCAAAGGTTCAAACGGCGTGGCAAACGGTGAGCTGCGAGCCCGAGCCGAGGTCGTGAACCAGCACTGAGGGGCAGGGGTGGGGGGATACATACGTCGTCATAGGGCAGGTCGTTGAGCTTGAGATTTTCGTTCAGTTTGGAGCTTAGCTGCTCCATCTACCGAGCAGATGGCGTGTGATTCATTCATGGCGTGAGAGACGCACAGGTGCCGCGCTTCGAAGACGCCGAGCACAGAGAGAGAGAGAGAGAGAGAGAGAGGGAGAGCCACAGACCTGGCGATCAGCAACAGCATTGGACAGCGCGGTAATATCCTGCTGCAACGCCAGGATATCCGTCCACACATCGGCCTGTTCCTTGGCAATGGCCTCCAACCGTGCCTCATCCACCACCAACCGACCCGAGTCCTGCGCCGCCATTCTCCCGGTCGCGCGCAAAGAGAGAGAGAGAGAGAAGAGAGAGAGAGAGAGAGAGAGAGAGAGAGAGAGAGAGAGAGAGAGAGAGAGAGAGAGAGAGA